ATAATAATAATAATAATAAATTATCTATGAATTGATCATGGCATTTTCATGTACATATCAGGAACAATCAGCACCGCACAAGCAGATAGGGAAGCTCTGGCACACCAGGAGACAGGTGGCCCACAGTGTTCCACACATGTATAATAATAATAATAATAAATTATCTATGAATTGATCATGGCATTTTCATGTACATATCAGGAACAATCAGCACCGCACAAGCAGATAGGGAAGCTCTGGCACACCAGGAGACAGGTGGCCCACAGTGTTCCACACATGAGTGAAATGTGTATTTTTTTTAGTGGACTAGTAGCTCATGCCTTCTCTGCAGGGTTGTCTGTGATACTTACATTTGATCCCATCTTCCTAAGCATAAGCAGGACTCTCACTTTCTGCTGAATATACATCTCCTCCGGACTCTTCCCGGGGACACCCTCACGGTTCATTCCCCTCCTCCCAGTTCTCGAGGCTCCTAAATACATAGAACCATCAAGACAAAAAGGAGCGATAACAGAAGAATAAGCAGCAAGAAAATACATTGACTACTAACAGCCAAAGCCGTTCCCACCTCTCCCTGCGTAGGAGCTCTCTGGTCAGGCCTAGCTCTGCCCAGTACATCATTCAGATGCCATCAACACAGACAACTTTGTCAAAATGAATCTCCAGGCAACCTTCAGGTGCAGCAGTAAACTAGTGAAACTGACAAGGTCATTCTTTATAGGTCATTCTTCAACAAAACTTCATCAGAAGGAAATGATAGAGGTGCAGCCCTGTGTACACACCAATAGCTTTTGTCACAGAATTAGGTGACATGTATTTCAGTTACTGAACCTAGCCCTCTCTTCCCAAGAAAGCCTTGCTTATTTTTTAGTAAATAATCCCAAATTAGCAGAACAGTATAACATGGTTGCTAGTTTAATCAGAGATGCTGGTATTAATTTGCAATTGAAAGTTAAACAATGAAGCAATACATAGATCAGAGCTCATTCACAGTGTTTCCCAGTTTCTCCAGACCACACAGATAAACTAACAGCAGTAAAATGAAGAAAGACCCAACAGTACCTGCTTCCCTGGTAACCTCGGGCAATGAGAACGTTCAGCCGGAGTGGCCAGGAAGAAGAAATCAAAGCTCTTATTTGGGCTTTGGGTAAAGCATGTAGGGACCACCTGTAACAGAGACACCAGACACTGGAATACCTAATTTTCTGGCAACATACAGACCTTATAATTTCTGTTACACTTATTTTAATAATTCCTGTTCCATTTGTTCTGTTATTCTGTTAAATAATTCCTGTTCCATTTGTTTAAATAAACATCATATTCTTACTAACTTTTGCACAAATAGTTTAACCAATACCCAATGCTTTGTTTGGCAATTTATGTTGCTACTGTTAGCTAATTCATCTGAAATAAATCACATTGACTTAACAGTCCTGGAGAACATACAGTTGGATGAAAAAAGTTGTAGCTATTCTTGAAAAGGGTAAGGGTACAGTTGTATATCCAAAAGTACTATGATGCTTTAGAAATACCAACTAAAATTAAAGTGACAAGAATCTAGTGATAAGGACCTATCACTAGATAAACACAAGTATAAACACTGGATGATCTTGAAGAAAGCACTTCTAAGCCAGATGCACGTAGCTTTAACATACTGGGCATCAAATTCATCTCCTTTTTGCCTTGAACCCTCTAGGCAGCCTTAAGCAACCCACCTCTTTGCCTTTGCTCATGTACAATATGGGAATGTTGGCCTACCTTACAAGGCTGTTTCAAGGATTAGCAAATTAATGTCTGTGAAGCTCAAACACTGAACAGGCTATATAAATGCTAAGTTAAAAAAAGGTAAAGGTTTCCCTTGCTCGAAAGCCAGTCAAATCCAACTCTAGGAGGTGGTGCTCATTTCCAAGCTGAAGAGCCAGCACTGTCCGAAGACGTTTCCGTGGTCATGTGGCCGGCATGACTAAATGCTGAGGTGCATGAAACGCTGTTATCTTCCCACCGAAGCGGTACCTGTTTATCTACTTGCAATTTTTTGCTTTTGAACTGCTAGGTTGGCAGGAGCTGGGGCCAGAGACGGGAGCTCATTCTGTCATGTGGCATTAGGGTCTCGAACTGCCGAACTACAAACCTTACGGTCTGCGACTCAGCACTTTAACTTCTGAGCCACCGTGCCCCCTGTAAATGCTAAGTACTTCATGTTAACTCGTTCAAGGTGACCAGATGTTCCTGACGGGACCTCAGAAACCATTCTGACTATACCATTAGACTCCTCACTTTGTCAGGAATGGCTCCACAAATATCAAATTCCCTTTTCCAGAGAGCCATCAAAGTTCAAGTAGCTCTAAGAAACCTTGCAACATTTATTGAGCATGAGTGGCTGATTATGACCATTGGGGGGGGTGAGATGGGGAGGACGGATGTTTGCATGAGACATAAACTAACCATTAAATTTTAATACATTTTGGTGGAAAGCTGTTACTGAACAGGAAGGTCACTCTGGGAACGGAGTAAATGATTCCACAGAAGAGGAAACGTATCTTGAGAAAGGGGAAAGAAATTAGTATTTTTTAAAAAATCTTCCAGCAGGTGGCACTGCTTACAAGAATCTAGAAACCAAACACTGCATAGATGACCTTAATCTATATGCAGCAACCTTCCTCTCTCTGTTACTAACCAAAGACAGAGGTGGAAGGAGTCAAAGCGAGACTAAAATGGAAAGAGAGGAAACTGAAATAATCTGAATTCAGTTCAGGCAGCCACTGGATTGCTTTTTCCTGCATTGTCCCTGACAAGTTAGTCAAGACAGCATTTAAGCTTGCATGCATGCCTCTACATGTTCTAGACAACAAACTATCTCATCATAGGAAAACTTTAAGACATTATTCCAAGTGTCTGGGTTTTTGGGTTGCCCTTGCTTCAACAAGCAGAGAAGCCTGTTTCTGTGACAGAGACTAGGGAACACTGTTGAAAGTTAACACGAGCCAAACTGCCAACCAGCAGAATCACCAAAAATAGACTTAAAAGGTCATTCTAAGGTGGGCTAGTTGTACATTCATGTTAACCATCCCTCCTCTGGCCCTGGTGGCTATATTTACGTTCATAAGGTCACAGCAAAAGGCAAAAGGTG